GTAATAAGCAAAGGGGTTCTAGGCCGCATTCTGTGTATCCGCACATGTCCGTATTCTGTATGTCCGCATTCTTTATGTCCGCATTCTGCATGTGCGCATTCTGCATGTGCGCATTCTGCCCTGTACATTCTGCACGGCTAAGCTTCGCAGAACCAGCCATGTTCTGCATCGCCGGCCAGTCTCGGCATCGCCAGCAGAAGAAATTTATAACGACTTTATGCTGCTTTTCATCTACTTAGGCCGAGCATGAAAATAGATTTATTAATATTCCATGCATTAATTATCAGCTGTAATGAAGAAAATAATTCCTGTCCTGGATCGCCACGTGACCCACACCGCGTAATTCAATTTATTTTCTGCATCCGTAGTTCTGCAGCCTGGAAATCGACGAAATAACTAGAACCAGGACCTGGACAGAAATCCGAATCATATCAAAAAATGAACAACCAAGACCTAATTAATAATTTAATGCCTTTATCAGATCAATGGGTATGTTTACCTTCCCTTCATTCTCCTTCTTATACCGATCTACATTTCAATTTTTATGTCCATTTATATATCCAGGCTTATCTATGTATCCGTATCCATATTCATGCATCCTGTTCCGCATCCGCTTCCGTACCCTTTGGCTAACTTCGAGATCTAGCCTGCTATGATAGCCGCCCTCCAGCAAGCCCAATCCTTGGACTCCGAGAATGCGGCCTTGAGGAAAGAGAAGAGGAAGCTTGAGATTGAGTTGGCCCAGCAACGTTGGACCACGTATTCAGCAGACTTGTCCTTCGATATGCAGCTTTTTACGCCTCATCAGAGATATGTTACTCCTGAGGATACCAGGGTATTTTCTGCCCCATCTCTCCCACTTTCTTCTGTTTGTACATGCTCATCCCTTTCTCTAGCGCTTGCACCGAGAAGCCGCCAGCTACGTGTGCCGGGTCCCTAGATGGGACGTAATTCTGGAGAAAATCCACCATTACCCGGGCTTGACGGAGCAATGGTTGTGCATGGAGCGAATGGTCTCTATACCGGTCGGAGAGGGGCACGATTGGGGATGCGCGGAAGAATGCGTGGGCAAGAGCTGTATGCTGTTTATGGCTACGGACAAGCTGGAGGACGGGCCCAACCCGGCGATGGTACTCAAGTACAAGGGAGACTGAAGGAAGAAGAAATGGCTCGCTAATATGCTGATGCAAGATATACCCATATACGAGAAAATGCCAATGCAGAATGCTTTGCTGATGGAGATGCCGGGGTAATGCCCTAGTAATTTTTTTTTTTTTTTTTTTTTTTATATTGCTATCTGCACAAAAATGCAGATGTAGAGATGCTTGTCTAACATGCTAATACGGACTGCTTTTTATCCAGGATACTTATATATAAATACCGTCCAAGGTAGCAATGCAGAGTTTGCAGAACCGAATCCGCGAGAGAAGGTCTCTTAGAACTCGAAAATTTTCTGAAAAATCGCTTGAAAACAGGCGCAGAAGCCGGACTCCTGCTCGGCTATCTTCGCTATTATGAACATTTCAAGCGAGTTTTCAAGAATTAATGCTACTAACAATTATTGCATTATTACGAAATCTTTAATATTATAATATAGAATTCAATATGCCCAGCTCGAGCATGCTCGAAGAATGGTCTCTTATCTATACCTCAGAAGATCACTTGCATGCCTCCTGCCGAGAAGAAGCTGAGCATCGAGAACGGATGGCCGAATTAAGGAATTAAAATGAAATGGATAGACGATTTTAAATATTTGAATGGCCATAGTAAAATGAAAAAATAATAAAAAAAGCGCAGAGCGCAGAGCGCAGATCTTCTGATCCGCGGGATAAGCATCCGGTCGTGGACGGCTCCTTCCTGCGCGAGGTACTTTCCTGAATCATCATTCTCTTTTGATCACGTGCTCCCTACTTGATCAGAATCGGTTTCTTGCTGTCAACCATCTACTATCATCGTCACCAGCCATCACATCGCCGCCGTCAACTCTGCCTCTGCCTCACTGTCACTGTCACTGTCACTGTCACTGTCACTGTCACTGTCACTGTCACTGTCACTGTCACTGTCACTGTCACTGCCATCGTCTCCGCCATCGTCTCTGCCATCGTCACTTTCACTGTCACTGCTACTACCACTGTTTCTTCCATCATCACTGTCATTGCCACCGCCTCTACATCACCAAAATGCCCTACTATGATCACCAATCGCTCCGCGAACTCCTCGGCATCAACGAAGAAGCCTTCGAAGAGGTCAAGATGATGATGCAGCAAGTCTTCCTCGCCCACCTCGTGGGTCTCGGCAAAGCTCGCTTGAACTGCTCTCCCAACAAGGAGAAGGTCGACAGAGCCATCGCAGAATGCATAGAAGGCTTTCAAGGGTTCGCATTGATAGACGAAGAGAATATAGTGCCCGTGACTGGAATGCTACGGATGTACGCTAGTATGATCACGAACAACAAAAGGTTGAGAGAGAAGGAGAGAATTGATGGACGGCGAGCGTCGACCGAGCCCTCTGCGAAGAAACCGAAGACCAAGAGAAGAGGAAGCGAAGACGACATGAGGAGTGGAAGAGGAGAGAGAGGATTGAGACCAAGAACAAGGGCCGAGATAAGAGAAGAGGAGAGGGTCGATGAAGATGAAGAAGAAGAAGAAGAGGAGGAGGAGGAGGAGAGGGAGGAGGATACGATGGAGGGTGTGCAGAGAGAGGAGATGGATACAGAGGTAATGGTTGAAGCCGAAACGAAAAGAAAGTCCCTCGAACTTGACAACGCTGGTTCGTTTATCTTGTCTTTCTCCAGGGTTGACTTGCTGGATTGCTGATTTGGACAGGATTCACTAGCGACATGTCTGCCGCCCCCCCAGCCGAGTCTTTCGCCCTTCCAGCAAAGTCTGCCGCCCTGCCAGTCGAATCCGCCCAGCTTGCCCTCCCAGCCCAGTCTGCTCTGCCTGCTCTGCCAGTCAAGTCCGCTCAGCCTCCCATCCCAGTCGAATCCGCTCAGCCTGCCCTCCCAGTCGAGTCCGCCTTACCTGCCCTCCCAGCTCAGCCTGCCCACACTGCCGTCCTCGGGACGTCCCAGAAACCTTTTATACACCCGGCTTCCCCTTCTGCAGATATTCCGAAGACCTTCTCAACTCTAATGATGGGACGGAAGTTGATGCAGGGTCGGCATGGCTCGTCAGCAGAGCCCGAGGGCGTATCGGCTCTGCATCAAGTTCCGGCGTTGGGCATGCCGACACGACACGGGACCTCGATCCCCCAAGGAGCAGTAGCAACGACGACAACGGCAGCAGCCCGGCCTGCGCTCGGAGAAAGGTCAAAGAATACAAGCCTCGCTTCAGCGAGGGGTTTCAGAAGTATGCAGTTGAGAAACCAGCTGAATAAAAGGGCTTAAAGATAAAGAAGATTAGCGAAGGAGGTTGGGATTAGAACTGGATGATGTGACTAGTATGGCTAGTGTTGCTAGTATAACAATGGATAAGTGGATTTTGTGGATGGAAGTGGAGTTGGGTATATCTATTAGCTTGCTGGCTGATGCCATCAAAGAGGGGACAGTTGTACAGACTAGCTTTTGATACAGTCACCTCTTACTGCTAATGAATAAAATTTTATTTCGTACCAGAACTCTTTACATTTGACAGGTTATACTTTTACAACCATAAGCTTTGAAAGGTAAATAAATACCCACGGTACAAGCCTAAGTACTACCCCTCGATGGTGCCTCAAAAGTTTAGTTTCCACTTTAAACCTCCTGGTTTCCCTACCCTCGAGTGGTAATACTTAGGCCTATACCGTAGTAAATGAGCAGATTTAATTCTTCACCGTCGGTTTCCCTGAAATTCAACTCGAAAGAATTGACCGACTTGCTATAGCAAGTCGGCACTACCAAGGCGGGACAGTAACGGTATACCACTTATTGAACAACAACTATTTACATAAAGAAGAGAAAAAAAAATCTTTATATGCATAAAAAAGTTTGCTTTACAAACGTGAATCAAAATTATAAAAATGCATTCATTTATAGTGATCTACTACATTGAAATGTAAGTCCGATTTTCGTAGTCCTCGCTTATTCTAGTATATACCCGGCAGTTCTGATATATACGCATTAATGAGATCGAAAAGTACATATCAAAAGTACTTATTTTACTACTTTAACTCAATACAATAAAGGAATAATAATTTGTAATTAAGACTTGATTAATTGATTAATATCAAACTTAATACGATGCATCTTTCTATACAAAAATAATTACGATATACTAATTGGTTGATTTTCTATTTATTATAAAGAAGCAAATTTTACTGTCCCGCCTTGGTGGTGCCGAGCTGGCTGCGCCAGGTAGGGATTTTTTATAAATTAAATTCAAGGTATCCGACGATTAATGTTGAGGGGGGTTTGAATTAATCATTTTCTCGAAGATATAATTAAAAAACACCGGCTAGTATTGATTTTTCTTTTCGGAGTGCTAACCTTTAGTTTTGGTGCGAAATACTACTTCTCCAAAATAATACCATCTATTCATCCATTCACTAATACTAATCTATCAATTTCGCTATCCATCTTTCATCGAAACCCATTAAACAACTCGAGATAAACTCTGCATTCGTAGTCGTTATCGCTGTTCCTTTGATTCTATTCCGCCTTCTACTCCGCCTTCGCCCCCGTCTTCGCTTTACGCTTGCGAGATGGCCGCTGCGGCTTTTGGTCGAGAGATGCTCCGTGCCCGCCGCTCGATACTTGCATCGGCTTTCCGTCGGGTCCGGCGCGCCAGCCTGGGGCCCACCATGTTCTGCCTGGGCTGGAAGGAGGAGAAAGCGAAGGAAAAGTTAGTTATATAAGTGTGTATGTATATATGTATGTATGTATGCATGTATGCATGTATGTATGTATGTATGCATAAAGAAAAGGATGAAGGTGGGGTACGCGAGAAGGGAGAGATGGATTATGATAGAAAGTGGAAAGGGATATGCTTACGTTACCTCTACGACGATTCTGGTGATGGAACGGGGTTGAGAGGGGGGTGGTTGTGATATTGGTGGTGGGGGTGATAGTGGCGAGCATCCGAGCGGTTGTGATGCTGGTGAAGGGAGTGCTGGTGAGAGTGTTGGTAGTGAGATTGCTGATGTTGACGATAATCTGAGGGGTGGTGAGAATCTTAGCGCTTGTGAACATTCGAGTGGTTGTGATGCTGGTGGTGAGAGTACGGATGGTGAGAGTGCTAGTGTTTGCGAGAATCCGAGCGGTGGTGAGCATTCGATCGATGGTGAGAGTCCGAGCGGTCGTGATGCTGATGGTGGGAGTGAAGGTATTAGCGAGACTCCGAGCGGTAATGAGAATTCGAGCGGTTGTAAGGTTGGTGATGAGGTCGGTGTCGGTGTCGGTGATGATGGTGCTAGTGTGGGTATTGGCGAGAATTCTAGTTGTGGTGACGACGGTGTTCGGAGCGGCCATGATGGTGTTGGTGAAGGGGATCTTGGCGGTAGCGGTGATGATGGTGTTGGTATCAGCCACGATGATGCTGATGAAGATGGTCTCGATGGTGGTGATGGTGGTGATCTCGGTGGTGGCAATGATCCTGGCGGTGGCGATCTCGCCGTCGGTCGTGGCCTAGGGGGTCGATAGATAGCCAGCACGCTAGGACTGACGGTATGCTCGGTATTGAAGGTGTAGGGTCCAGGAGGTGGAATATGGTATAGGTCTTCGAAAGCGAGATTGGAAGTATTTGTCCGGTTTAATCGAGGATCAGGTCCCATGTCTGGCGCGGCACTTGGACGACCTCGACCTGGAGGGGTATAAGCAGCGATAGCAGAAGGCTTTGTTGAATGCCGAAGATGCTCAAGGCCGGGCCAGAAGTCAGGAGAAATTTGGAACCTGGGCTGGCAGTAGGGCATGGCATGATCGAAGGGTCCAGGGGTGAGAGCTGAGGACGAAGTGAGGATCGAAGAGGGAGTGAGAGCGGGTGTGAGATTGGGATCCTTATTTTCGTCGTTTTGCGTAAGATAATAATCCTTTTCGTCGGAGTCGGATCCGAAAGTGAGATCCATATGCTCGTGGTCCTGAACAAGATCAAAACCGTTTTGCTCGTCGTGTTGAGCGAGGTGAGGATGCTTGTCATCGGAGTCTTGAGTGAGATTGGGATCCTTGATATCGCCGTTCCGAGTCCAAGAAAGATCTAGTTGTGTGTGATGTCTAGTAGTCAATAAAGGATTGAATTGAGACTGCGCGAGATTGGGATCCTCAACATCATGGCTCCGCGTGAGGTCAAGATCCTTGATATCGTCGTCTTGCATCAGATCCAGATCCTGATGCTCGTCGTCTAGCGCGTTTGCATTGAATGGACGACGCGATCGAAGCCGAGCTGGAGATGGGAGGCCATGGTTTGTCGGGAGGCCATGGTTTGTCCACCGAAGCGCGAAAGACTGCGATTCTCGCGGCATTTCAAGTCCAGAGCCGAGGGCAGAGGAGGTTAAGGATAGGAGGCCGTGGTTGGTCCACTCGAGCTCAAAAGCTCCCGGTGGTTCCGACATTGTAAGCAAGGCGCAAAGGGCAAAAGAAGAGGAGGAAGAAGAGGTTGAAAGGATGGAATGAGTGAATCAAAGAAAGAAGAGGAAGAGAAGGAGATGTCGTGGGTTATAGCCTAGCTGGGCCTGGCTTGGCCTGATCTGATTTGATCTGAGGCCGACATAGCAAACGGAGAGACGAGAGGAAAGTAAGGGGAGGAACGGAAACAGATGGATACGTGCAGCAATTTGCAGCGTTTGTATGTGTGTGTGTATGAG